GCGGTATGGGTTTGCTTATTGTTGAAAGCCATGAAATGACCTATAGTTGGTAACTTCAAGGTCATTTAGTCGTTGGTAGAAAGTCGACTCATTTTTATCAACCATACCACATCTCCTAATTTTTCTAACAGTTAAATTTTCTTTTTCTTTATACTTGGATGATACATTGAACTATACCACTATCGCGAAGTTAATGATACTCATCTAGTGTTATTAAGGGACAATTTTGATTTTCAAGAAGGGGATTTTTGAAAATTAATACGCTGGTCTGGTAAAAACAGTTGAATACTCTTCCACAAAAAATGCAAGTTATAAGTGTGTTTAAAATTGAAAAGAGATGTCGCTTAAAATAAATAAGAATACCTAGCAACAGGTGAAATCAATAATCCGTCAGTTAAACAATCTCCTGTCCCTCTTTCCCGAAAATCCAATGTTCGTTCCCTTAGAGGCTCACTCGAGCTGATTTATATTTCAAATGAATTTTTGGGCTCTTGCATTAACTTAAAGCTTCTCATCATCATTTTTCTAAGATTTTAAGAGGTTTGTTGATGTAGTTGAAACAGAAAAGGGATTTAGCCAAAAATATACCAACAATTATCATAGTTGAACACCTTTTAAAGGCGGTCATGTTTTTGCTTGCATGGTTGCAAAGAAACGAAGAATTGTTACAAAGGACGATCCTGAACTGAATTTGTCAAGTAATTCAGAGGAGATCCAAATGCAAAATTGATCCGGATGACAGATGATGGGCATTAGCTTATGCAATAGCTCACGAGAACCTAAAAAGGAAGTGTGTGATTGATTTAAGTGTCAATACTTTCTAAGCTGATTACATGTCAAGATAATTGCAACTTTGTTGGATTTCTTGATTTAAATGAAAGTCACCGAGTTGTACATCCGCGCGATCAGATTTTGGCTGAACTAAAAAATAATTTTGCATATTATTGCAACAGAACAGAATTGTGCAATTATCAAGCTATAATTTGTAAAACGATAATTATTTTTGGGAATTATCAATATCAGCGTGTTGAGATTAGCTTATTTGTGCTTACAAAATACGCTGCAGATTTTAAAGTTGTTCACCAAAAATAATTTAAATACAGATAAATAAGTTATTTCTAGTAATTTGCATCATACTTGTCGCCTTTTTACGGCATATTTATTTTGTTCAATTGGTTATTTGCAGTAATGTAATATTGGGAATTTTTTTTAAATGAAGGCATGTATTCTCCCTCACGCACAGCTATGATTCCTTTACTGTGTTTTATTTTTAGTCCTATTTGGATGCATCATCTTTTCAAAGTTTGTATTAGGTTTTTGTTTTTCAAATATTTTGGATCTCAAACATCATTGAAGAGACATTAATTGTCAACATGTGCATCTGGTGCAGTAAAACTGGTTTCGTTAATGCTATTACTACCACTTGGCTCGTTGATCTGTTACTAAAACTCTAAAATGTATGCATTTATCTTTTTTCTATATTCTAAAATATTACTAAATGAACTCTTTCCAAAAAAGTGAACATTTGTATCGAAAGCACATAAAATCTGAGAAAATGAGTCGGAGTTATTGCCCTTTAATGAAATTTTTTATAAAAAAAAATTGCGTGTTTGTCTGATATCTGAAAAATCATATTAGCTAGATAGAAACTTAAACAAACAAAATGATCAACTAAACAAGATCTACAAGGAAGTGTCATTGTTGAAATTTTCTGATGACCCCTTGTTGGAGTTATTGCCCTTTAATGATTTTTGCCATTTTTTGTGTTTTGCCTAATATCTGAAATACTATCACAGATCGATAGAAACTTTAATAAGCAAAAATGGTCACCAATATAAGATCTACAAATAAGTTTGCTTACCAAATGGTCAGTTAATCCTTAATAAAAGTTATTGCTCTTGAATGACAATTTTACCCAATTTTAGTGTTCTGTCTGTTAGCTTATAGACTATTATAGATATTTAGCCACTTTAAATAACAAAAATGAACAGCAAGACAAGATTTAAAGAAACTTCAACATAGTCGAAATCTTCAGTCAACTCCTTATTGAAGTTCTTGAACTTTGATGACGATTTTTACCAATATTTTACGTTTTTGTCTATTATCACAAAAACTATAAGACATCGATAACAAAAATGATCAGCAAGACAAATAAGTTAAATCTGTTTACCCTTTTTTGTGTTTTGGCCAAAAACTAAAGGCGATAGATAGAAACTGTAAACAGAAAAATCAGCAATACAAGATCAACAAAAACAAAAAAGAGATTTTTGTCATGAATTCTATTATAGTCTACAATGGGTTGGATAGTGTCCTTTGTTGAAGATGAACATAGACCAAAGTAAGCGACACAGGCTCTTTAGAGCCTCTAGTTTTGTTTTAACAGCTCTTCAACGTTTGCATAAGTGTTTTGCATTTTCGAATATTTTCACCTAGCTCGAGCATCACTGAAGAGAGTTTAACTGACGAAATGTTCATCTAGTGCAGTAAACTTTAAACCGCAAATGTTTTATATATATATATATATCTTTCGCACATCGTACATCCTTTTTTTTAGTTTATTTGCTTTCACTTTTTACAACCATGTATCATAAATGTTTAACCCAGCCACAGTCGAGACGTGCCTGTCCCAAGTCAGGAGCCTGAAATTCAGTGTCGTTTGTTGCTGTATATCATATTTGATTTTCGTTTGTTGTTTTGTACATAAATCAGGCCGTTAGTTTTATCTTTGACTTGTTTTTTTCATTTATGACATCTATCATTTCAGGGCCTTTTATAGCTAACTATACGGTATGGGTTTTGCTCATTGTCGAAGGCCGTACAGTGACCTATAGTTGTAGACTGTTATGTCATTTGGTCTCCGTTGGATAGTTTCTCATTGTCAATCATACCACATCTTCTTATTTTTATAGTAATTTCTATAGTCAAACACATTTTAATGATTCATTATTTCATTACTTAGCGACCAGAATTTTAAAATACCGGTAATCCGCCAAAAACCAATCCTTACATCCACATCATTTGAACTCTGGTGGATAGTTGTCTCATTGGCAATCCTAGCCACATCTACTTATTGTTATATTGTAGACATTAATTATTGACCTGTGATGTCATTTTATTTTATTGTTGTTGTGTTGCTGTCCTAATCGATTCCACTGCTGGTAGACGTCCCAAATGGTATCACCAGCCTAGTATCCTGATATCTTCAACGAATTTGTATTGGCGTATGTATTCCTCTCATTAACGTAGATTCAAATTGTTGGAAGCGTTTGACATGCGTTAGTACATTAATTTTTGTTATAAGGTACCTTGAACTAATAGAAATTAGATGTGGTATGAGTGCCAATGAGACAACTTTCCATCCAAGTCATAATGTGTAAAAGTAAACAATTATAGGCCAAAGTACGGCCTTCAACACGGAGCCTTGGCTCACACCGAACAGCAAGCTTTATTATAAAGGGCCCCAAAATGACAAGTGTAAAACAATTCAAACAGGAAAACCAACGGTCTAACCTATATAAATACATTTTCGGCTGTACGTGAATATGAAATATATATGCATAATTTCCTTTACAGATGTTTCCTGCTTACTAAGAAACTATCGAAACAAAGTTTTAGAATGACATACGTGTAGTTGGAAGTCATTCCTTTGAAAGTTTTATCAACATCATGGTAGACTCTTTCTGAATATCTGTTCAATGGAGGACTGTGAATTTATACAACGATCATATAGTAACAATTCTGTCATTGACATATGCATATGACTTACAAACAGATTGTGTATGTATCATAAACACGACTAGTGCAAAAAGAGATATCGATGGTTGAGTTTGATTCAGTTTGCTGCATTGTTTTTGTTATACCGTCCGGTATTTGTTTGTGATATGTATTATTGTCTGTTATATGTATTACTTCAGTGTATAAAATTCCCCGTATTTCAAAATGTGAGACAAGTCATAAGAGAAATCCAACGGCCTGATTTACACTGCAACAATAAGCGAAAACAATTCTGACAGACAGCAACCAACCATAACTAATGGATTGGGACAGGCACATAAACAATAAGGCGAGGAACAACAGGTTTGTGAGCGTCGCGCCCTCTTCAGTGAGTCTTCCTAACCTGGGGACATAGTGTAACAACGCGACATATGGTATAGTGTAAAGACGTTATAAGTAGTTTGAGAGAAGCATGACCTTGTGAAATAAGTATCGACAGGCTGTAGGAGCATAAGTGGATTCTCTCATATTATTCGCGTATTCTTTGTTATATAATGGCTTATCACTATAGATAGCAATAAATAAGATTTTTACAGGAATAATACGGCTGGTGTCACCAGTCACCAGAAGGGCAGGAACTTCCGTAGCACCTGAATTACCCCCATGTTAATGGTGTAGCTGGTGTTGGTCGGTCTTTATTTTTCTATATATATATAAAAAGATGTAGCTGGTGTTGTTCGGTCTTTATTTTTCTATATATATATAAAGAAGATGTGGTATGATTGCCAATGAGACAAATATGCTTATTTGAGGACTGCTGTTTGTTATTTTTTTTCTCTATTGGTTATAATGTATTTTGCATGTTATGGTTCTTCGATTTATGGTTTTTTGAATTTCTCTAGCTATCATGTCCTCTACTAAGAATGGCTGGATAGAAGACTGTGGCATGTTTTGCTTAAAGGTTTGTGTACTTTTAAGTGAACCAGACAGAATGTCTGAATATGTGATTATGTGATCTGTCATAAAAAATAGATGCTAAACAAAAAATCAAAGATGCGTTCAGATTTATAAAGTTAAAAGGCATTGATTACAAGGTCTTAAAAAGTTAAATCTTGAGAGAAAAAGGTAACATCTTAATCGCCTTTCGGATCATCGGGACTTAACCTCTCCGTTTGCTCTGCTCCTCCCAATTTTCCTTTTAACTGGGTTAACAAAGAGCCTAAAGACCACCACAAATGATCTTTGTCTTTGAAGTGTTTCAATTGAAAGAACAAAAAACTAAGTAGTTAAATTTTGTTATTTATGTAAATGACATAGCACTAACATTGTTTGTGTACTTTACATGTTTTTTCTTGGTGGCGCTCTTTATCGTCTTGTCTGAAAGAGAAATAGGAAAATAATTAGTTCAATTAAATCATAAGATTTCATAAAAGCAATAGATCACTTTAATTTTAGGTTCAACCTGCAATTTTGGTCTACTAATTAAAACGCATGTACATACAATGTATTTATTTTGTCTTGTGTCAACGAGACTTGATTTTCCTGGGCTTTACACAGAACTTCAGTCCAAATATAAGATCTTTTCTTCTAATTATATATTTATTCTATCAGATTTGACCCGTGCAATAAATATCATTATGAATAGAGGTGCGAGCAGATAAATTGTTCCGACACTATTGACTTCCAACAATACAGAAAATAAAATGTAAGTGCTATAAAAGTGTCATAATAAATTTATTGTGTTTTCTTCAAGGCAAACATAACATTTATAAAACATGCATACGAAAATGTATATTCTACAGAAAGCCAAAAGAGGTCAAATCTTATCATAAAATGCGCTCATAATATTGTTAATAATTGAACATTTTGCAAAGCATTTGCTGCACAGAAATTTTTTCTAATCTCTTGAAATTTTTAGTTTTAAAGATTTATCATTTATTCCGTCATTAATTATGAATTATTTACTTTTGCCGATCCTGGATATCGGAAAATCTTGTTGATAATTATATTGAGTTAATGATTCTCATACTAATGTATAAACTATAAATTTTAATTTCAATTACTTACTAAATCGTTCATTGATGTCAATCATCATTTGTGTTGCCTTGACATTCAAGTTGGTTGGAACCAATGCCTTAGTTGTCATGCTTATTTGTGTAGACTTCCTCGACGATGATCGTGAAGAATTTACAAAGTCTTTTAAAATTTCATTGTTTGCATGTTATGGTTCATGTTTATAAGATCCCCGAGCATTCTATTTGAACTGGAATATCTAGTGTTGCTAGTTTTTTGGTAGGTATTTGTTGGACTAGGAAATACTGGTGAGGCTGAATGCATCGAATTCCGTTTGGATCTTGAACATATGCCATAAAGGTCGACATTCTTATCTTTAGAAATGTCTATTGAGGTCGAACTTTTACTTTGAAGGTTGCAGGTCCTTTTGGGGATAACATATTGTTCTTTGAGGCTGTTGGTTTGTAATTTGTACGACGTCTCGGTATTAGAAACACTTGGATCTACGGTAGATTTTCCACTTTCAGAACTTGCTGCAGAGGTATTCCTATGAAATTTACTTTTTCTGTTTACGGTCTTTGCTGAGGGAATTTCACATGACAAATGTTCGTCCAACTCATATTCCTCAAATCCACTACTGTATTCTGACTCAGTATCGTCTCTGTCAAAAGTATCACGTGACCGAATGAACTCGCAAGAATCGAGCGAAGATGATGACGTGATCTTTACAGACGGTTTAATTTCCCCGCTATCCCCATTTTCAGACTCCTTTATCATTTCTAAGATTTGATGTTTTAATGTTAAATTGTTTTGTATTTTACTTATAAGATCCTTATACTCGCTGCTAACGTCACTTTCCGTTGAAATGCTCATGTCATATTCGCATCCTGTATCACTGTCATTATTAACACGATCGGAGTCCGTTCTGGTGCTTACACTGTTGCACGTGTAGCCAGAATCTGAGTCACGAAATGCTGGATGAATAAATGAATTTTTATGTTTTTCACCTTGCTCAGTTTTAGGCTTATCCCAAGGTGCATTGTATACTCTCTGTTTCCTTTCGTTTTTCATAAACGATTTTTTATTTAAATCTGTTTCGTCTTCCTGAACTTCATCCCTTTTTGAAGATGTTCTCCTACTTGGTAATATTGGTACGACTAAATATGGTCCTTCAACATTATTTCCCATGTTAGTTTTCTCTGGTAAAAGAGTGAATTGCCTTGAAAATGAAATTTCTGAAACTTCACTTATCTCATCATAAATATGAACTGAAGAATCCAGATTTTCTTGACATTTACTTTCTTGGAATCCGTAATTTGAATTTGACTGGTTGTGAAAACCATAATTATCACTAACAGATTTTTCTTTGGAGGTCTTCTCTTTGTTCTTTCCGTTTTTTAGCCACCGAAACATCTACAAATAAAAAAAGTAAAAATATTTTTAGGATTTTAAACAAAGGTTAGTATATGCTTTAAGCGTATGTTTCTAAGAGACTGATCCTTTCGGTATTATTATTTTATTTTCCAAACGATGTTTGTTTATCAAAAACCCTTTGTGTTTATCGTAAAGCACATTAGGTCAAGTATGAGATTGTAAGTAAACTATGCAACTGATAAAACATCAATAAATTGCACTGGTGGCAGCAAACATTTTAATGGTAAACTATCTATTAAAATCATTCGTAGCAGTTTTACGCATTTTAATTAATGGTTACGCATTAGCGACATAGAATATATGCCAGTGTAAAGCTAATATTAACTTTTTTAAAAGATCATTCAGTTTATATTTCAAAACGTGTGCAACTTATCACAGTTACATGACATGCATACTTACTTTATTCATTTTGCCTTGATATTCTAATATAGATATAACTCAGCAAACTTAATAAATATTTTGTCAATTGTATCCCACTGGGTACTGTCGCCTTTCTGACTTAATTTTCTCACGATTTCAATTAGTTTGGTAACACTTTTTTAAAACCATTTATTTATATAATCCAAGAAAAGCAATATTAACTTCTTAATATTTTGATTTTGTGATCTCTCTAATTAACTTTGCTAGCATTTACCTGACGGTTTAAATGAGTCACTCAAATTTAAAAAGTGAAAATAACTAGTAAAAGACTAATTAACTCTAAAACGTTTTCAACACTTTGATCCTAAGCGGATTAGCTTTTGTTTAATTAAGTGCCCTTTTATCATTAATTGTGTCAGTCGCTTAGATGACATGCACGGTGTTACAAAAACTTATTAATACAGTGACTTTTGAGGAAGGAGTTAACTTATCTTTCAAAAGATCATGAAATGAAACAGAAAATTTAAATTTTACAATTTAGTGTCAAAATTTACGACTTAAATTCTGCAAAAAAGAAAGTAATCACAGTCCTGAAATTTTGTTACAATTCAATTTGGTTCTAACCAAAGGCGCAAATAGATTGCATGTAAATGTATCTATATATTAAAAAGGAGTTCAATATGCTTCCCGTTGACTCGTGAAGCTGGAAGGAGGATTACTAACATCAATAGTTTTATGTCCTGTATGAGCAGTATACAATAGGGAGATGTGGTATGATTGTAGTGAGATAACTATCCACCAAATGACGTGAATTTAAGCAGCCGCGGTTATTTTAACTATTTCATTAATAACATAAAACTGATGATACATTTGGGATAAATAGTCAAACAGAAAATTCAGTCAATCGGTAATCATAATGGAAATTTGCGCGATTAGAATGAGAAAGCATTTAGCCTTTACTGTCTATATATATAAATAATGACTTTTTTTAAATATATATTAGAAATGAATAATTTAGAGAATGCATTTCTGACACTCCTAGACTTACCTATAAACTTTAAACGTCCTGAAAAAGTCAACAATTTCGATTTAAACTGACTTAAGATTTTCCCTAGTATTTTTTTTCTAAAATTGTGTTAGTCTCAAATTTAAAGTAAGCATTTGAACGTAGGTTCGAATATCTTAGACATGATGATATTTTGAGCGAGTACTGATATATATACCAGAAAACGTTTAATACATACAAGTATCTTAAGACTTGCTAAAGTCACTATACACTGGGTGTAAAAAAAAACCTATTTGATTTCTTTGCCAGATTTATTTGATTAATAATACTCCATGACTTTGTTCTTTAATTCAGTTGTAGCGTGATCGTCAGTTTCAAAGAACTCCTCTCAAGCCGGTGCTATATATAGGGACCGTCTTAAACTTGCAGAGGGTTTTTTTGCACCGTGATCAAGGCCTCACATTGACTTTAAGACGAACAATGAAAGCGCTGTTCCTTTGCGTTTTTTTTGTTTTTTTTTGCTATGCATATATTGATTTTATGTCATGGATGGATACCCCATATCCTTTCTTTTTCTATATATATTCTTGCCAGAGCAGGTTCTTGAAATGTAATTTTCAGTGACCATCACAAGGCTAGCTGCATAAAATCATAGTTAGTGTCTCAGAATTTTAGTTTTTCAACTCCCACTGATTTTCTCACAAGATTTAAAAAGGTAATAAAACATGTTTATAGGATTTATTTTTCCAGTATTCTGAAATCAATTAAACTACTGTCAAAATTTATTACACGGGTGACATGAAGGTGTGAAAGTTAATTTTCGGGCTCAGTAAATACATGTATGACAGCTCTTAAATCCAAAGTTGTGTTATGAACTGATAAATAATCCTGGCGAAATGTTCAAGCAAAGTAAATAAAGCCATTTAAATCGTTAATTTATCCATGATTCTAGGTGACGCTTCTTCACCTTACTAGTACGTATCTCTCTAGGCTTATGAATGTCCAAACACCTTTCCGTATTATTAACTTACATCTGCTAACAGTGAAGAGTGACACTTAGTAATACATGTAAATGTTTGTATGGTTTCTGACAAGGATTTGTATAGTGCTCACTATACAAATCCTTGTTTCTAAATTTCGAGATTGTCTGGCAAACTTTGACAGTATTTATTCTAAATTAATTATCTGTCATCGTTATTGTCTGTATTGTGCTGAAAATACCCTGCACATGTGTGCTGCAATGCCAAGTTATTGACATGTAGCAAAACATTTTACACAAACCGGTACTAGAAACTTGCAGTGAAATATGAGATTCTTTTTGGAATAGTAAGCCTCACTCTGAATTTAAGATAAAGAACAGCAATACAAGCGGCCAATGTGTCTTTGTGTTTTTTGTTTTTGTTTCTGTTTTTTTTTCCAATTTCGTGCAGGTGTTTGAAGACAAATACACATCATCCTTTCTTTCTATTAAAAGTAACAGGACACAATTCTGTTTTGCTGAGTGCAGCACTATTACATATAGGTCTCTTGTTATATAAATAGGCGTAGCCTTTCTTTACTTTACACATAATTCATGTATTATATACATTTCCCATCAGACAAATACATTAAAGTCACGTGATTAAAGTGCACTTGATTGTTATCGCATTTAATTTTAGTTTAAATTTTAAAATTATATGGCTGCTATAAAAAATGCAATCCTGAAATGTCAAGTGTCAGAAAATGATTTTATGGTGATGTTTGATAGCGATCTTAATCTAAAAAGTCTGTTTTTCCTGAAAATCTCGGAAACAGGAAAAGGTGAAATGTTGCAATGATAAAAACATGCAACAACAGTATTTCTGACCTACATAAATCATATATCTATGTTCTAGCTACCAGCTGTATTTTACTGTCATGTAATGTTGTTACATGTATATCTGATAAACTATTATAACTTGTACAAATATGTCGGGTGTGCAAAAAAAACAATTTCTCCGTTGAAATAAAATATCACTTGCCACAATGTACATGTATACCAGATATTACAAAGTCAGACTAATGCCACAATGTACATGTAGACAAGATATTATAAAGTCAGACTAATGCCACAATGTACATGTAGACCAGATATTACAAATGCAGACTAATGCCACAATGTACATGTAGACAAGATATTACAAATTCAGACTAATGCCACAATGTACATGTAGACAAGATATTACAAAGTCAGACTAATGCCACAATGTACATGTAGACCAGCTATAACAAAGTCAGACTAATGCCACAATGTACATGTAGACCAGATATTACAAAGTCAGACTAATGCCACAATGTACATGTAGACCAGATATTACAAAGTCATACTAATGCCACAATGTACATGTAGACCAGATATTACAAAGTCAGACTAATGCCACAATGTACATATAGACCAGATATTACAAAGTCAGACTAATGCCACAATGTACATGTAGATCAGATATTACAAAGTCAGACTCATGCCACAATGTACATGTAGACCAGATATTACAAAGTCAGACTTATGCCACAATGTACATGTAGACCAGATATTACAAAGTCAGACTCATGCCACAATGTACATGTAGACAAGATATTACAAAGTCAGACTGATGCCGCAATGTACATGTAGACAAGATATTACAAAGTCAGACTAAAGCCACACTGATGATGTACATGTAGACCAGATATTACAAAGTCATACTAATACCACAATGTACATGTAGACCAGATATTACAAAGTTAGACTAATGCCACAATGTACATGTAGACAAGATATTACAAAGTCAGACTAATGCCACAATGTACATGTAGACCAGATATAACAAAGTCAGACTAATGCCACAATGTACATGTAGACCAGATATTACAAAGTCAGACTAATGCCACAATGTACATGTAGACCAGATATTACAAAGTCATACTCATGCCACAATGTACATGTAGACAAGATATTACAAAGTCAGACTGATGCCACAATGTACATGTAGACAAGATATTACAAAGTCAGACTAAAGCCACAATGTACATGTAGACCAGATATTACAAAGTCATACTAATACCACAATGTACATGTAGACCAGATATTACAAAGTCAGACTAATGCCACAATGTACATGTAGACCAGATATTACAAAGTTAAACTAATGCCACAATGTACATGGGCATTGGCAGATAAAAGTATCGTTAGCTCTACCAGGGGCACAGAGAGGAAACTCCGTTACAAACTCGTGAAGATCTTTATCAAACAAAAAAAATCGCCAAGAAAAATATAGTTCACAATATATGAGGACAAATAAAGTAATTCAGAGACTATGAGTTGTTCTACAAAGGAGAATAAACTGGTATCTCAGAATTCAATGGTCTTTTCTCTCTCTCTTGATAATGTTGTCTTGTACTTCTACAGGCATCAGAAGGCATTAGTGAACTTGAGGTTTTTTTAACTCCTTCTTATTATAATGTCTTTTTCTTATTTAATGTTGATTTCTACTCCCTGAAGTTGTGAATATGCCTTTAAGGGGGTAATTGTCCCCTTCAACTTTAAAATTACATAAATCTCTGAGAATTATACTTAACATACAACAAATAAATTTAAAACTCTCATTAAAAGCTTTCTATGTTGATGATTTTCTCCAATTTTATTTTAAAACCAGTGACTGAATGCAGTAACGCTACGTTGTCTGGAAACATAAAACAACGTCTTGAACAGCAAATAATCATAAAATACAACTTAATCTCTTATTTCAATTATGAAAACTTATAAAACTTTTCCATATTCAAAAAAGTTTTTATTTTTATTAGTTTTTATATGTCTTTCAAAGAGACAATTTCCGTCTACTTTAATAAAAGCTAGGGGCTTATAAAACGTGCAATTGAGACCAATCTTTAAAACATATTTAATATCTTTTATACAGATTATTGATGATATTCTATATATGCATTTTAATGATAGGTGTTTATTTGGCTAATGTCGGAAGGTCAAAATATGTCTCGTATAAGTTTACTTTGATCATAAGAAGATGGCCCCCATAGGTATAAAAATAAAGAAATGAACACAGTCCTCAGAGAGATGGAACAGATAATTTATCGAAGTTGAACAAAATATGAAAAATAACTAATCTATTACAGTACTTCACCATAATAAGGGGTTTCAGAAGGCCAAACTAATAAACATTACAAAAAACATCGAACAATGACAACCGGAAAAGAAAATCACTTAATTGATTTGTGAAGTCGCGACTTCAGTCAATTATAATTGATACGGTTTGACAACTTACAAAAACATATAATATTTATATCTTCATTGAATGGCATATTTAACAAGAAAGCACGTAATGTTACACTTTTTTAAGGGATATCTATAGTCATCACATTATCGGAAGTGGATAACATCATTATTTACCCCAGATGGCGCCTCGGGTACAGGAAATAGTTTTGGTGTTGGTTGTTACTGCTTTCCTATCAGTGTTTACAATCGTTTTATTTATTTTGTCCTCAAGTCTGCCTCACTTCCCCGGGTAGCACAGAAACAAAACTATTTATTAACTTGGTAACATTATTTAAATATTGTTTTTTATTTTATTTTAAATGTAAGTGGGAGTATTGATCACTGCTCGTCACAAAAAAATCACTACAACGATAGCCATCAGTTGAGTGAAGCCTCTATATCATTTCCATAGTCAATGATTTGCGATCTGCTACGCTCTGAACAGGCTTTAGCTCCTTAAACTCTAATGTTAGAACAAAACAGATCAGAGAATAGGCTACAAACAGTGGAGCAATATGACAAGCATTGTGGACATATGCTTATCAGACATAAAACAATACATAAAACCTATAGAAATAAAGATAAATTTGTAAGCAAATGAAACTATGATTTACTACAATTTTCTGTCAGAAATCACAATATAATATTTCATGTACATTTACCACGCCATAACCTGCAATAGTTACTAACCAACTTGCCCAAGAAAAATGGATTGCCTTGTTGTTTGTGAAACGTCAAGTTACAAATTTCACATGCATATAACAGGACAAATCCAAGAGAAAAAACTTTACGCACAGAATATGCAAATAATTATGATCCACACATGAGATAGACATTCTTCCTTGATACAGATACATGCACATTTATTATATGATGGGATTTAACTAAGTAACTTTCCATATCACTTCAAAGTTGTTTTTTAACAGTTAGGACAGTTTTTTTCTACTACACAAAAGAGGCGGAATATACCAAACTCATAAGTCACAAATAATTCAATCCCACCATATTATTGCCTGTAGTATGTCAAGTTACTTTCATTGTTCGGTTTACTTTCTTGCCGGAAAAAAAATATGTGTTGGTTATTGTTTGTTGTGGTTCATGTATCAATCATGAATATCATCACTTTTTTTTATATTTCACATATTTGTTAATGTGTGTTTTTCATGTAGATCTAAAGAAAATTTAATGTCCCCATTGTCACCCAGAACGATATTTCTAAAACAACGTAGGTAACCTAAAAACAAAAGACTATATAATAAAAGAGATCTGAAGAATCCGAAGACAATTATTGTGACATCTTAATTTCTACTTCTCACACGCTTTTTGTCTTGTGTTCTACGTGCAGACCCTTGATAAAGACAAAGATCAACTTCTTTATTTCATCTATGACCCATAAATCAGAATAGAAGTCACAAGATTATTCCATATGAAAGGAACAAGAAACCCTCCTTGTGATTTAAGTGTTCTTCACACTTGAAGGCGGAGAAGGTGTATTGGGAAATTCCTTTGACGGCAAGCAGTAGCAGAGATATCGTGTATCAATGAGGATACTTGGGAGTTTTAAACTGTCAATTACACAGCTATTTATATGTCGTAAAGATAACGTTCTCACCCGGGATACCGACAAACATTTTTATCCATCTGTTAAATATCCTAAGTGGTTTTGGTCAGTGTTTTTTAAACATGTCCATCTTCCCTGCTTCTGATGGAAAATTAAATTTGAAAGATCAAGTGATGTCGCTGGTTAGACAGTAAGTGGCCATATATGTTTGTTATGACTTGTGGAACACACTATTTTGTTGTTTTTTTTTTTGCAATCGATTTTTCAACAAACTTTAAACATTAGTGCACTACATACGGTAGTGATTTTTTAAGTGAAAGCTACATATATCCCCTACATGTTATAGGCTGAGTTTACATATTATACTGAGTCAAACAAGTTCCTTTTCTTATAATAAAATCTGTGTGAAATTCATGTATGATCAAAAGACAAAGAAATCAAAACGCATCGTTCGTAAAATGTTCAGTGATGCGGGATTACTTATGAAACATATGTCACGCGCATTGAAATCGTCATATGTCGTAGTTCAAATGCATGCCCAGATTGACCTCCTTTTTTTTAAAGAAAAATTAGGGAGATTTGATATGATTGCCGTTTCGGTGATACGTGTAGCAGCTAGCCTCCAAACTTAAACCTAGGACATGAAGGTCACCCGAGTATTGGTCTCGGTTTACAATCTTGGATAGATTACTAATATCAGAACCACATAAAGCAAAACGTCTCTGCTAATATCTATACATGCAGTTTTCAGTTTCGTGTAAAAAAAACATTGGGGTTGGTCATAAAATGAAATATACGACATACGGGGTTATTCAGGAGAGGGAAGTGGCATCAGCCGATTGATGTCGGACCAAGTTAACAAAAAAAAACGAGCAAATATCAAAATTTTCCTACATCTATTAATAAAGGTAAATCAGTGGATAACATCAATGAGACAGCAATTTAAAAAGACACAAAATTCCCGCGATAAAGAAATATCGACCGGATTGATATATATTTTTAGTCCTGATCATTTTTCAAAATTTTGAAGATCAGCCCTCTATCTTGATTGCAACACGTATATAAACACTTTATATTATCAATATTGTGAAATATATGGTATTGTTACAGTCTGGGAAATATAAGGCCTTTGTGAAAACCAAAACTACATGTACCATAAAAGAAACGGTATTCGTAGGGTCAGATTACTTTCTTCTTTCTAAAAATATGAGCTACTCGGTTTCTTTGACGACGACAATGATGATGATTACGAGATATGTAAATAAATAAAGACGTCAATTACGTATACACAGCGACCAAACAGCAAATAAAACCAACTGAAGACACCTAGAGGACTACACAAAGTCTTTTACAAACACGAGTGTCTTTATAATATGCGAAGCTCTTATTAATTGAGTACACAAAGTTGTAAATTAACTAGAAAAGATCTGCCATCAACACAAAATGCTTCAAATAGCAACAAAACATTAAAATACGTACAACATAAGACAACCATAGACTTTATTATAATATTTTCTAACATAAATTTTGAAACTCAATACCTTTAATATAATATATATATATATTGTATAAAAAGACATACAAAGTTAATTATAATCTTCATTAATACTTCCTTCAAATCCATGATAATTTTTTCGTTTTTATGAAAATAAGAAAAATAAACTTACCTTAAATATTTTTTATATTCCTATATATCAGTAGCACAGTGGTAGATTGTTTGCTTTCTCTTTTAACACTTTATACAACTTAATTGATAGTGATTCTTCAACACAGGTGAAATTTACACATTTTAAAAGAGGCGGAGTCACATTATCTATAATAGCCAATGAGATATCGGTTTTCAATTTATAACCATCAAACGAACAGGTAAATTGCTCTTTTGATAACACTGATTTTAATACTTTATGATTTTTTAAATGTAAATAACCTGACACAAGTCTCTATTATTAATCCTATGGTTTTCAAAACGGCAATATTTTAAAACATTTTTGTCATTAGCTCACATTATGAATGAGCATATCCAAATGCCAAATAGATTTTTTTATTTATTTCAAAGATATCTTATAAAGTTTGCTCTAACAATGTTGTCAATTGCATGGACGGAACGAGAACAACCAGATCACTGACTGACAAAATACCATGCATGTTCTTTTAAATATAAAACTGTTTTACATCCAAACAGTTATAAATTCACAAAAGTTTCTATTGCCTTGTTTGTTTCAACTGATAAAAGAATTACACTGTAATGGTGTAATAGCATTCTCAAGCAGAGCCTTGAGTCTCAGATTCCATCAGTAACACATTTGACTGTTTGGTTTTTAATTAATGTTCTATACTTACACGATGTGATGCCCTTATATTCATAGAACTATTATATTTGCGATGCTGTAACTGTCGGTATAATACAGGAAAAATGCTAATAAAGAGGACATACACACAGTTACATACTGAACATGAGGTCGCAACGGCCTATTTACCGTATGATAGCTATATTATAAAATAGAAGTCAAAATTTGTTGAGAAAATAAGATCAAGGACCACACTGTATATATAACCTAGTTAATACAAATGAAAGAGGACGTAGAAAGAAAACATGATTGCCTGGTTTCGCAGTCTCCGAATCATTTACTGGACAAGTTGGTCTATTTCACGACAGAGCTGGTTAAGATCATATCTGTATAGTAAAGCAATGAGGTTCTATTCAGAATAGAACCTCATTGGTTACGGTAACATTTAGTAGCTGTTTGACAATACATCATAAGCAGTCACAGTGATAAATGGGGGGAGGTCCTTGCATTCGAAACATTTTCTGTCGAAGATCAACATGACGAAAGCGAAATAATAAGAAAGTTTCAAGATCGCAAAAAGAGGCTTTGACTATTTATATCTAAAAATAATATTTCCTTTTGTCTTTCATCTTTTACTTATGGGAAGATATTTCATATTTTAAGATATGACACACCTTCAGAAACAACATAAAGGGAATACACATTTTTTAGTTTATTTGATACTTCATACATGTCTGGAAAATTTGACAATGTGATAAGAGCGATTTGTCTTTGTATTGACATCTGGTCAAAAGTACAAAGACTGCACAAAACACAAATAATAAATATAAACCACAGAAAAAAGTTGATCTTCGTGAGAGAAAATTTTATATAATACTTATAGGGGAGCTAAGGGGAAGTTTTAACATACATGTACATATACATCAATATACAAATTCAAAATATACCAAATTAAAAAAATGGCTTCATAAAACAACTTATTGTATTTAAGCTGGAAAAACATCATATAAGGATACTGAAAAGATTAACAGACTTAATATATCCCACGGAACTTCATATTACGTTTAGACCCACTTATCAGATAAATATAGATATTCACGGACTAGTAAATTGTAATTAAACCTACTTAAGATACATAATGGAATGTTAACACATATGCTTCCCACTAAATATATATGACTCAATATTATGATCATTGTTATTTATTGTTTTGGGTAATGTGGTATTTTCACCATTCACAATATTTTTTAAGATCAACATTTTGAGGGGATGTTTGATTAATATCTAATCGCGAAATCTGGACAATTACAAGCTTAAAATTGTAGTTCCTTTTATGCATATTCAATAGAGTGTCAGTCTGTTTTGTCAAAGTTGTAAAACTGATTATGTATTAGTAAATAAAATTGGCAAATGGTCAATGTTAATTTAAAACAATTTAATATTAGTCATTCAGCTTTTCTTTATATGCGGTAAAATAAGTCATAGACTTAAACTACAAATGAGAGGCTTACTTTATTATAATTCCAAACAATGTCACTCTAATTTACTATCATTTCGACCAGTTTAAAATTTTATTGAATCTATATGTATAGAAATCACAATCAAGATAGTTTGATTGTTTTCTGTTGTGATCAGTTGTTTTTTTTTAACCCTTATCAGTAAACTGGGTGAATATAGAGCCTTGTCTGTCCGTCCGTTCGTGCATTCACTTGTACGACATTCATATTGAACCAGTAGCTTGATGGGTTTCAAGGATATTTTCAGAAGATTTTAAAAATCTCATCAAGCTTAAAATCTTTTATTTTAATGGTTGGTTCCAAAATGGTGCTTGGGGTCCGAATGAGCGAAACATAAACGCTACCATTTCTTTTGTAGGGCCGGAGAGAGTATAAATATGCGTACCTGTTTTCCCAATTAACTATTATTGTGTCAATTCAGTATTGCAATAAAAACTATTATCTGACTGTTACGCACATTTTTTTCAACGCAATTGATTCTTTCTGTAATTTAATCACAATTTCTCTTTAAAAACTTATTATTTCGTACCATTATGCAAGATCATGTGTCCCCTATGTTACAAACCACGAACCCATTTGTCGTTTTCCATCTCGATAAACCACAAAACGTTCCGCATGCGTAGGAACGTTAAAAACAGGAAATTTTCTCATTAAAGACAAAGAAGAGAACCAAGGACAACAAGTAATCCTGAATTAATTCTTCAAATCGATGTAAGTTGAAACGTTAAGCTAATCAGAGTTCATCTATCCCGTTGTTTTTCAATTAGATGCAACATTTGTATTTCCACCTTGATGAGTATGAATAGAATCTCAGTTGACAGATCTGTAGCCGTCACAATTATAATGGACGACATTTTTAATAATTCTTTCTTATCTGTTTTGTAGAAATTTTTGTCAATTTATTTTTTAAGAATTGAAACACGTGTAAAAATGACAGATCCACGCGTTCGGTGCGGGTATCAACTAAAATGTCAGTTATGGTCAGCGATCTACTTTTTTTGTTTGTGTTGTAAACTGTGTGGTTCCTTGTTGTTAGCAGTCCGATTAATAGATTTTTTCATGGAAATAAAACGATTTCCATATGTCAAGCCATAATTTATATCAAGCTGTTAAGTCAATGCGAGAACTTAACATTAAGTACATAAGAATGGGTTTTGCCAAAACGGTACCGTATGGCCACCTTATTAATTCACATCTAAACTAACTAGTCAAAATATCAAATAATCTAGAGATATTAAGCCAGTGAAATCCAAGTGTATTAAAGCAAAATTTGACAGTGGAAACAGTCGGAATCGCATACATTTATACCAGTAATCTTCAAAGCCAAAGTGAAACTAGGTGGGTCTATAAGAAATCTGCCTTTATTCGATTTAAGGAATAACTTATGTATTTGAAGAGTTGCCACAGTTTAACCCCAATCATGACGGTATTTGGCAACTCTTCAATACAATAATTAAGAATTGGAAGATACCAAGGCATAATCAAAACAAGACCTACAAAATCATGGCAAATACACCAAAAACGACACCAAAAATAGTATACAAAACATAACATAGAAAAACTAAATGTCTGTACAAAAAGAACCCAAACTAACTCCGGATGCGATCTCAGTACTGTTTCTTTTATAATGTTGTCTTCTTAAAATGTTCAAGATGAACACTATACTGTAACGCCCAACCAATTCATATTTGTAACTATATATAGATAATATGGTGTTAATTTGTCATTTTTCCTCATGATATTTGAGTTTAAAGTATACCCCAGTTAGTGATAAACCCAAAGGTGACTGGGGTATAAATATGGTCGCTTTTTGTCTTCTTCCAAACAGAAGTAAAACCCTTGCCAAAGAAGGACGTCCATTTTGCTGTGCGGGATGTATAAATATGCAGTCACGTCTGGTTAGAATCCGATGCCTCGTGTAGAGAGAGTGACACACTCTCTACGTGTCCGTTAAGAACACTTGTGACAACTCTTTGACGGGTCAGTAGGTTGCCTGTTGCAAGACAAAATGTCTGTCCCTATATCCAATATACCATCTTTTTCCAGTCGAAATTTCTCGCCCTGCATCCTGGTCGACACTTATAAATCACAGAACCTTCCTACTATAATTATTGTTAATTATTCTCGTCCTGAACACGCATGAAATATTTGACACTGGACGTAAAGCAGACAACAACCAATCAATCAGTTAGTGATAATGCATTCCGTGATGATAACATAGGATCTGCCATATTGTATCAACAGAGATACAGGTTACAAGAGCGCAATTATTTACCGGAAGATGGTACTCAGAATAGAATCTTGTACGGCTTCTGATTGGATGATACAGGATTGGAATTACTTTTAATCAAAAGCTTATCCAATAAGGTTTAAAAAATCCAGAAAAATATGCCTTTTTCATTTAGCCAAAAAAATAGACGATGTTTTCCAACTGCATTTTAAGTCAATTTTTGCAGCATGACCATATAAATGTTTTTGGTTGTTATGCAACACTGGGATTTCTAGTAACAGGAACTGTTACCCGTTTTTTGTTAGTTTGTGTAGTCTTCAAGACAAAAATAAGAAACACCACTGGTACCCTATGGAAAATGCATTACGCATAATTGCGCTCTTGTAACCTATAAAGACGAGAAATTTACTGGACTTCAAATGTGGCAATTTTTCGATTTCCAATTTTCATTCATTTATACAAAGGAGGGTTGCACACTAATAAAAGATGTTTCATTGGTCAAACCCATAAATTCCATTGTTCAATGATAATAAAATAAGTAACCTGACATAGTTGACTGCAAAATATGCAGATTGCACGCAATATAGTTATACAGAGTCATGTTTTATGAGGGAACGCAACAAATCATCTGTCAATAGCGAACAATGTCTAAATGTTTCATTTATTTTATGGCTTCGATTGTTTTATTTTTTAAGAGAAGGACCATGATTGGTTTTGTTTCTGATATCAACATCAAGACTTTAA